AAACAACAACAAAAAAAAAAATGAATAAGAAAAATGAAAAACAAAAAATTGTCTGCCTGGTACAGCGTACTGGAGCGAGAGTGACAAACAGCATACATTAACAAATATATATAGCTACATAGCACAATAGATAATTAACTAACACCAATAAGGGGTGATAATACCAACATGCCCAAGAAATAACACATAGAAAGTCATTATCTCCTATACGTCGTACCGGAGATAATTTGCATTATCGGAGGTGACAGGAGTTTATCGATATGTTTATTTTCAGCTTGTTTAAATTTGAGCTTGCGGCAGTTAAGTTAAGAGCAAGAAACAAATTTTTGCAGACTTGCTACCGAAAAAGATGTCAGATCACTTCTGAAATACAAAATGTTAACAATTTATCCTTATAACTTGCGGCAATCAAATTAAGAGCAAGAAACAAATTTTTGATTTGACTTGCTGCCGACAAAGATGTCAGATCACTTCTGAAATACAAAATGTTAACAATTTATCCTTTTTTATCTCAAAATGTTCTTCACTACGATAGAACAGCATTGCATATTAAAAAACATGAAGATAAATTTTGTAGCAACTTTAAATTGAACAATGCAATAAATGTATGTAAAGTACAAAGGCCTAAGTTTTTAATGTTTCGTTTTGCTCATGGTAGTTGAACAGGGTAGTTAGCATTAAACATCACCCAAACATCATCATCTTAGACAGGCCGCACGCATTCTATGACTTTCGGATGATATTTGAGAACTTCAACCTAAGCAATGTTCTTCACTTCGATAGAACAGCATTGCACATTATTAACATGAAGATTAACTTTGAAGCAACTTTATATTGAACAATGCGATAGAATGTATGTAAAGTACAGAGGCCTAAATTTTTTATGTCTCGTTTTGCTCATGGTAGTTGAACATGGTAGTTAGCATTAAACATCACCCGATTTTATCTTAGTTAGACAGGTCGCAAGCATTCTATGACTTTCGGATGATATTTGAGAACTTCAACCTAAAAACTTTCAAATTTGTAACAACTTTGACCAGAAGGGTGTGACAGAATGTGAAATATCGTGTGGCTGAATTGACAGAAATTTACTCAAAATTTTTCTTAATCAATTCTGCAATCAACGCAATTGGTCTGAGCAAGAAAGGCTTGGTCTAAGAAATGTAGATAAGTAGCTCACAGATCTCTTACCTTCTGAGCGAAAAAGTGTTTTTCCGTACTTGGTTTTGTTCTTGAGGGTATCAATAATAAAAACTTTATGGTGTCGTGCTTTTCTTCAATTTATAGAACTGTTTGAACTTCTGTAACTATGGTTACAAAACAAAACCGCTGTTTTATACGCCACAGTCCTTCTTCCTGTTCAGCTGTTCTAATTGCTGTTAATAATCAGGTCAAAGCTTTTGCGTTTTAATCTAAATGACTGCGGAGTCTCATCTTAGTACCACTGGATATGACAGTCAATGAAATATTTCTATGAAAATCCAGTAGTATGTTCCGAAATACATATATCGCAAGTCTAACTCTTAAACAAAGCTGCAAATTATTTGGTCAAGACACTTTCAGCGTGACATTATCTATTTTCAACTTGGTGATATTTGTTGGTGATATGTGTTATGACAGGTTATGACAGGTCTACGTTTTTCAAGTTAAAATTTATGAAAATATGTCGGAATTTTTAGAACTACACAACGTGTCGCATTTTCCTCACTAAAAAACTCACGTACATAGATGTTGTCAATGGAACCGTTATCTGTTTCTTCCTCTCCTTACGCTTTGGTATTCAATTTGGCTGGCGTTTCGTCCTGAAAACTGCATATGAGTGTCAAATTTAAGTTTCAGCTGCTCGTGTGGTGGAGAAAAAATAAAGTTTCGTGAGACGGCCATAATATTTAAAAGCATTATATGCGAGAGATTATCTGAAGTGAAATCTACATTTTCTGGGGTCGTTTCGTTTCAGTCGTTTCACTTGTTTCGTTTAGGTCGTTTCGTTTTGCTGTTTCGGGTCTTGGTACATGCCGAAATTATAAACGATATCACCACAAACTAAACATTTCGACTTAATATCTGTCCGCTGAAAAAACTGATCTTACTAGAAAGTGCCCAGAAACTTGGAAAAAATGGCGATAAAATGCAAGGGGTACATGACGACTTTGAGGTTTCTTTTTTTTCATCCAGGAAGCCATAGGCCTGCTTAATGATAAAATATACAGTGTTACAGAGAATGTGATATACTGTTACAAGTAAGCGTTGTACGATACTGTAATTCTCATCGTGCGCGAAAACCTTATTTGCACTAGGGTACTCTTGTTAAAAGAGGTTGTTATTGACCACAAGGTAACTTAGTTCTGATAACTGAGTTGACAATGCAAATGATCTCCATAAAGGGTTTCTAAGGCTACCATTTCGAACGCCCCTCAACAGAGCTTTATTAATAACATCATTTTCATCGTCGCTCGACATAATTCCTGTGAATACGTTGACCCTCGTGCAAAAAATGGAAAGTAGCTTACAAATATATTTCTTACCTTCTGACTGACAAAATGTTTGTTGTACTTGATATTGTGTTTGGGTATGTTATGAGTGGTGAACATAAACGCCACAGGCCTTCTTCCTGTTCAGCTGTTCTACTTATTTGTAGTCATCAGATCACTGCTTTTGTGTTAACTGTGGGTGACTGGTTTTCTCTAAATAACATTGTAGAAGTATAATACTCAATGAAATACCTCAATAAGAGTCCTGCAAACAAAGCTACAAATGATGAAATGAGATCAATAGTTGTAGGAACCCAAACACAGTGAGACAAAGTCTCGAGGGAAATTTGAAACAAGCCTAGGACGTTATAATCAACCATTAATTTTCGCGCCCATATACTGGCTACTTTACAAAAAACACTCTTTTTGTAGAGTCTAGTAAAATATTAAAAAGCTGGTCGCAACTGCGCATCCGTATCAGATAAGCACTTGTTTTTTACGAGCGGTCTCGGGTGATATGAGAATTAAGAGGAGGGTACGTTTTAAAATAGATAAACCTCCTTCTGGCTTGCGGGTATTTCGGCTGATATTGTCCTTGGCTGAAAGATTGTCATAAAAACGTCACATTTTCCCTCGAAGCTTTGCTACTCGGCCAAATATTTTTTAAAATTTTTGGACAATATCTCAGCCGTGGACATTATCAGCCGATTTACCAGCCGCCCGAATGGGTTTATTTACTAATTAGTTGTATCTCAAAAACAAGCAGAATGTTAAGGCCGTCGGAAAAATCTTCAAACGGCCGTCAAAGGATACGGTCATTGTTCCAAACATTTAAACCACGAAAATACCGTATAAGGGGTCTTTCTTTTTCTATTAGATTAAAGTGAGGGTCTTAAATACCCCAGAGAATATCAATCGCTAAAAAAGTGGTGTCGTGCCATCGTTAATAAAACTATTTTAAGTGCTGTAATCATGGTTACAAAACAAAATATGTTTAATAAGCGATGAACGGACGCGCTTTAGTTTTTCTTCCTAATCATACGTTCCAATTGTAGGTATTCATCAGTTCATGGTTTTGGTCTTTTATATTTTTGATAATCCAGTACAAGGTTTTTGAAAAGTGCCGGAAAGTCAAATTCTATGAAAAAGCCGCAAATGATTAGATGTGAATGATAATTGTTGGAACACAAACGCAGTAGAATTGACAATAGAAAACATAAATATTTCTAGTTTAAGATCGTGTTTGCCTAAAATCTTTTGCTTTTTTAGCTGGTGGCTTTCTCTCAGGCAACCAGGATGAAGAAATGATACAGCAAAACGAAACGAAACATGCGAAACCACCGAAATGACCAAAGCAAAACGATCGAAACAAAACGAACCTAGCGACCAAAACGAACGACCGATATGACCCAAAAATATACATAAAATAACACGGGGGCGGATCTAGGGGAGGCCACATAAAGCACAGTAGTCTATGGTCAAAGGTAGGGACCATCTTTGAATCGTACGTCCTCGACGTCAGAATAGGGTAATTCTGTTTTCCAAATAAGTGAGAAGTTCTTCTCAGTGCCATCGCCTGAGATAAGATTTCTTGTCGTTCTCATCATATATTCCATGTAGAATTTTTGTGCTTCTCAGAACGAGTTTTATTGCGTGGGGAGCCCGCCAGTTCGAACGACATTTCAACCTTACCTGTCCTTAAAGTGTTCTGACTTCCGGTTCTCTGTTACAACTCTACTTCCGGTTATTATACTTTCAATTATCGAATGATACTCCTACATCACGTCTGACCATACGTTTTACGACTGGCATCCTATTTTATACAAACCCAAACACAAGAGCCAGCTCGTAGGCTAAACAGACGGCGGTAAGAGGTCTTACATCCTGAGAGACACCGCCGGTAATCGGCTTTCATTGAATCCGTGCTGACACTTAAGAATGACTACCACTTAATTTCTCCTTACATTGTTACCCCTGAATCAAACATTAAGGTCATGAGAAAAAAAGAAATGACCAACAACTGAAGAAGCTCTTGATCGTTAAACAAATTCTCCCTGTCATCAGCTGAGGAAATGTATAGAGCGCAGTATGGAGAATATGCATCCTGATGTTAGGGTGTAAAGGGTGAAACGAAGGTGAATCGTTTGAGCCTGCCACTAACAAATTTCTTGCTTTCACCAGAGACATGAATTTCAGAGCGTGGATGGTGGAAACCTATCTGCAGATTCCTCGGTACCTGGGACGTGCACCTAAAGATGTGGACAAACTCACGTCTAAATTCAAAACTTTACACGAGTTGGACGCCATAGCCGCAGAACGAGCTGAAAGAAAGGTCTCCGTTTCTTGATTACGTTCCCCATCGCATTGAAATTGTCAAAAAGCGAAAACTTTTATGTATCATAGATTTTAATCATTTATACGTAAACAAAGCTGTAAGGAGTTCTCCTTCAGCCTGCAAACCAATGATCACAAGCGATCCAATGGGCTCGATATATTAAAATTCTAAAATGGCTTCGAGGCTAGGGGGAATAAAACAAAACATGTTTCACCTACTCATCCTTACATTTGTTATTTCTACAAACTCACTTTGTAACATAATCACCTGATGAGCCGTATCTACAAAATGGACCTTGGGCGTGACAATGTGTACTTAAATTGCAATATGTTTATCAATAGCAGTGCAAGGTATTTACTTTAACAAAAGCTAAGGAAATACAAATAAAAGCAATATATGAAGCAATTTAGAATCATCGACATTACGTTACTGCATTCCAGTGTACACTAGAACTTGAAATATTTGTTTTTCTGATAGCGTTCTTCAGAGTCAAAACATTGGGTAATTGTTTGGAGTTTCGTTATAGAAATCAAAGGGAACTAGAACTGAATCAGCGACTAGGTTTATTCTTGATATTGACTTTGAAAAATGAAGGCTGTGTGATCGCTTTGTGTTCCGTTAAGTGAAAGACGAGTAAAAAATTTAAAGAATCAAAACTTGTATAACCGAGATTGTAGGAGCATAGGAGGCGTGATGGCCATGATGATACAAGCCATTGAGATTCGAGCATAACTCTTGAGAATACCTCAGACCCACCTAATATTTTATGGAGACAGGGTCTTTGCAGCCGCTGCCTCCAGGCTATAGAATGTCTCACCCATAAACCTTAAACTGAGTCTATCAGTTTCTGTTTTTTGAAGAAAGATTGAAGACGCATTTTTTCTGAGCTACTTATGATTCACTGTCAATTTCCAACTATGATAAGGAGCTTTTTGCATGTACCGTTATATAGATCAAGTCATTATTACTATTATGATTATTATTATCATCGATTAACTGGCCAATTTTACAGAATCAGCTATTCCTATTTTAAAAAACACGCACAAAGAAGCAAGAAAAACCTGAACAGCATTTCGCTAAGCTCCAATTTAAGAGTGATTATTAAATGCTAAATAGACTTGATCGAGACACTGGTGTCTTTTGTTAAAGTTGGTGCTGTATCATTGTTGTGCCATAATTATGACAGTTCAAAAATCCACTGGTCTTATTTTCATCTCGGTTCTCTTTAGAGAGTAATGATATCCTTTCCAGTGAAACCAGTTCACTCCATCAGCAAAGGAGGAGTGCTGGCCACGAAGATATAAACCATTGAGATTTGAGTAGTGACAATGCTCGTACCACCAGGCTCCTTTGAACTTAATGGCGCAGTTGTATTCTCCCTCATTGTCATTATCTTGATCTTTAGTGGTGAACGGCCAACCGCGTTGCCTAGCAAGAGAGTCACCAGAATTTCCTGACAAAATGAGCCGCACTATGAGTATTACGTTTGACCAACATGCAGCAATGAGTAGTACGTAATTCAAAAGAAATCTTGAAATATCAGATAAGTATAATTTAACGATAATGATACCACTAAACGTGATAATGCTAATAAATATGTTTGCCGAGACAAAGCGACAAAATGACAGTTCTTATCAACGTCCGGAATGCATTATTCAGGATTGCATATCGATGAGCTGAGATTATTGACGTAAAAGACGTTAACCATATTTACATTACTCAGCACTCTCCTCCCCCCCCCCCCCCCCCCATCTTTGAATGACTAGAATAGAAGGGACGAAATGACAGTTCTACCTGAATAAGAACCAAGGATCAGCTTGTACTTGTCTTTCTCACTCATAACACCAAACAAGTTATACTCGGCATAAGCTGTGTTCCCTTCAAAGTCCTCCAAGTCCACACGCAGCATGCTGTTATTATCTGAGGTCAGCCGGTGAATCTTGTCCAGTCCCAACCAAAACTCACTTTTCAGGTCACCAAAGCCATGTTTGTAGTCGTTCCAGTAGCGGTAGAAATCAACTGAGCCGTTCAGTCTTTTCTGGAACACTGTCCAACCACCACCGGCTGTTGTTTGGTCACAGAATACATCAAAGGCAGGCAAATTATCAGGTTTAATGGTGTACGCACCGTCAGTTGGTTTACCCGCGGATTTGTAGATTTCTGCGCAATTCCTTTTGACTGAAAATCAGAAAAAACAAACAAACAAAAAAATAAACAAAACGCCCACTTTAAATGCTTTGGATGTTGAGTGCTTTTTGTTTGCTTTTCTGACTGTTGCTCTGACTGATAAAACTTGATTCTAAACATTAACTAGTACCATTTCTTTTTCCTTAATATCTACCAGCTATATTCATGTAAAGTTACAGTAATAGGCTTTTCCTTTTTAGCTTTACTTCAATGGTTAATATTTTGTTCTTGAAGTCAATTTTAGGACTTGAGTGAGTAACTCCTCGCGTACTACACGCGAGAGTGGCCCACACAATCCACTCATTTCACCTTCACTGACTTGGCAGGTTTCTCCAGTGAATCTTTCCCGACAGACACAACGAAAACCTTTATAGGTGAATCCAGCTTGACAGATGCCATTGTTTAAGCATGGGCTACTGCTGCATGGATTCTGTTGACAAAACAAAGAAAGCTTTTTTGCAGACTTTCCTTATGTCAAGAATAACATCGCTTTAGCCTTAGAAAATGAAACAATCTCTTCTACCATCTTAGTTTCGTGAGAATGTGAAATGTTACCTCGATTGCAAGATATGTGTAACTCGGAGTTTTCACGAGAAGAAATGGAGCATAGTTTTCCTCCGTGGCGTTATTCAACTCGCATTTTTGGTTCCCTCCTTCAACAGATCCAATATTGATGGATACACAATTAGGCTCCATCAAACACATTACTTTGCAGCTCCCTTCGTTTGGCACCTCTGCAATTTTGATCGCGTGACTTTTCATGGCCATGTTCGGTATTGGGTCCTTGAATTTGATGTGTCGACTATCGTCGTCTGTGGTTGGCAAAACAAATACATCATTTAGTTTCCGCTTACTCAAGATGATTTCCTTTTTCCACGAATGAAAAGGCACATTAATCCCCTTTATTTTAAAAATTTACGGCATGAGAACCCTGACGAGTTTTCCCTAAAGGTGATTCCCATCTCTTGAAATTCAACGCAACTGACATGGGAGGCTTTCATTACCAAAAATTAATCTTTGATTTTGAATTCATGAGCGGAAAGAAAATATTTTAAAAAATATCTAGAACATTTTCATAGCTTTCATTACCACACCATCGTTGTGAACCATTGATGCGTATGTGGTGAGGTCTTTTTTTAATTTGACTTTTTTGTATCTTTTATTCCATAATAGAAGACATTTTGAGTTAGATAAAGCGGATTGTATGCTGAAAGATTATTTGCTTTGATCAGCAGGTAGCATATGTAGTTCGTGTAATGGTTTTGAGGAAACGACACCAGAAAGACGAAACGAAAGAAATTTAAAAAGGGATTTATATTCACCGGTGCAACAGAAACATGGTGGGAGAATAATTCCAAGGAAGATATAGAGAATACTAATGATCGGTTGAAGAGAAAACTTGAACTGCATCGCTATAAATAAATGATTGTAAATTCATGGTAAAAAATTTAATGGTGAGCGTCCCAAAATATACACCTACCTGTTTTCCTGTAAATTTGAATGTTGTTGACAAATGTTAGGCAGGTGCTCGGCATTATTTGCTAGCTTTGTCTACTTAAAGGGACTCTTAATTAGCATAACATTTCGAAGGCAAATACTTCGTTCGGTTTTGTCATTGGTCTAAAACACGTTGTAATGCTAACAGACTTGTGTCATTCCTTGCACACAAAAAAAAAGCATAGTATGAATTACTTCATATTACATATTCATTTTCGAAAGTGAGTGACAGCTGCAAAAGGCGAAAAAAGAGGAAAATAATAGACCGTTGTTGTTTGTCTGCATTGGAGTATTTTTAAAATTTTTACTCCACCTTGTAAATTTCATCTTATTCTGATAAGCCATAATATTCTACAAAGTTTCGGGAAGAACGAAATAGAGCACATCATCCTTACCGGAGGTAACAGGAGTTTATCAATATGTTTATTTTCAGCCTGTTTAACTTTGAACTTGCGAAAGTTAAGTTAAGAGCAAGAAACAAATTTTTGCAGAATTGCTACCGACAAAGATGTCAGATCACTTCTGAAATACAAAATTTTAGCAGTTTATCTTTTTTTTATCTCAAACAATTCTCCAGCACGATAGAACAGCATTGCACATTATTAACATGAAGATTAACTTTGTAGCAATTTTAAATCGAAGAATGCGATAAAATGTATGTAAAGTACAGAGGCCTAAGTTTTTTATGGCTCGTTTTGCTCGTGGTAGTTGAGCATGGTGATTAGCACTAAACATCACCCGATATTATCTTAGTAAGACAGGTCGCAAGTATTCTATGACTTACGGATGGTATTGGAGAAGTTCAACCTAATAAATTTCAAATTTGTAACAACTTTGACTAGAAGAATATGACAGAAAGTGAAATATCGTGTGGCTGAATTGACTGAACTTTACACAAAATTTTTCTCGATCATTTCTGGAATCAGCGCAATTGGTCTGAGCAAGAAAGGCTTGGTCTAAGAAATATAGATAAGTAGCTCACAGAGATATTTCTTACCTTCTGAGCGAAAAAGCGTTTTTCGTATTTGGTTTTGTTCCTGGGGATATCAATAGTGAAAACTTTATGGTGTCGAGCTTTCCTTTAATTTATAGAACTGTTTGAACTTCTGTGACCATGGTTAAAAAAGAAAACCGCTGTTTTATACGCCACAGTCCTTGTTCCTGTTCAGCTGTTCTTATTGTTGTTAGTCATCTGGTCAAAGCTTTTGTGTTTAAATCTAAATGACTGCGGTGTCTCATCTTACTACAACTTGATATGTCAGTCAATGAATTACTTCAATGAAAATCCAGTAGAATGTTTTGAAAAACTTATATGGCAAGTCTAACTCTTAAACAAAGCTACAAATTATTTGGTCAAAACACCTTCGGCGGGACATGTAAGAAGTTTTAGAACTACACAATGTTTTCCTATTTTCCCTGGAGATGATTAAAGTGCTATGACCGGTTTTGTGTCTTTCAAATTGAAAATTTATGAAAATATGAATTTTTAGAATTACACAACGTGTCGCAT